AAAGTACAGCTAAGGTAATTAAAAAAGAGATCAGACGAAAGTACGACCCTAGTTATTTAGCTTTTGGGTTTACTTACACTGGGGATTTAAATGAGCCTACTCCACAGTGTGTTATTTGTATGGAAACATTATCCAAACATAGTATGAAACCGTCCCTTCTCATGAGGCATTTCAATACAAAACACCATAATTTAAAAGGGAAACCTGTGGCTTATTTTAAAAATAAAGAAAGTGAGCTTAAAGGTAGCAAAAACACAATGAGCTCATTTTCATCTCTTAACACTCGAGCAGTTGAAGCATCGTACAAAGTAAGTTTAAGAATTGCTCAAGAAGCTAAACCACATACGATTGGTGAATCCTTAATCCTACCTGCTGCCAAAGATATGGTTTCTTCAATTTTAGGAGAAAAAGAAGCAAAGCTGCTTGATGTTGTGTCGTTATCTAACAACACGGTAACACGAAGAGTAAAAGACATGGCGTTAGATGTCAAACGCATGTTAATCGAGAAAATAAAGAAGAGTCCATATTTTTCACTGCAAATTGACGAAACAACAGACATTACAAATATGCCGAATTTGCTGTGTTATGTTAGATATGAAGACAGTAACAGGGTAAATGAAGACATGTTATTTTGTGAGATATTACCGACACATACAACTGGTGAAGACATTTTTGTTAAATTAAATGGTTTTATAAATGAGCATGATCTGGATTGGAACAAGTGCGTGGGACTTTGTACTGACGGAGCCGCCGCAATGGTAGGTCGCCACTCTGGGGTTGTGGCTAGAGTAAAACAAGTAGCCACCCAAGCAACATTCACTCACTGTTGTTTGCATCGAGAGGCTTTGGTAAGCAAAAATTGCCCTGAGAGCCTAAAGAAGGTTTTAAGCCAAGCTGTTAAAACAGTAAATTTTATCAAGGCACGTGCTTTACATTCTCGTTTGTTTGCAATACTGTGTGATGATATGGGTAGTTTGCACAGACAGCTATTGCTACACACCGAGGTCAGATGGCTATCGAGAGGAAAGGTTTTGACTCGTCTGTTTGAGCTACGCAATGAGGTTTTTGTATTTTTGTCCGACAAAAACTTTGAATTTAAGGACTGCTTCGCAGATGAACTGTGGATGAGTAGGTTGGTGTATCTGGCAGAAATATTTTCAAAGCTCAACGAACTCAACCAAAGTTTGCAAGGAAATAACAACACCCCTTTTCGAGTTAATGACAAAGTATCTGCAATGAAAAAGAAGCTGAACCAAGGAGCGAAAGAAGCAGAAGAAAAAAAGATTTCACTGTTTCCTACTCTTGAGAGTTTTGTTGACGAAAATGACATCCAACTTAGTCCTGAATTTCTGGCTGACATTAAAAACCATTGTCTCAGCTTAATTAACAGCTACAACCTTTACTTTCCTGAGGACTTGAATGAATATTCCTGGATCCAAAACCCGTTTGCAGAGATAGAAATGGCACCAGACAACTTGACTGCACCAGAAAAAGAACAGTTGTTTGAACTAAACTGTGATTCGGAACTTCGGCAACAATTTTCAAGAATGATGCTTGTGGACTTCTGGGTCGAAAGGCGTGTGGATTACGGACAAGTAGCTGACAAAGCAGTTAAATTTTTGCTTCCATTTTCAACTTCATACCTGTGTGAGACAGCCTTTTCATCTCTTGTGTACCTTAAGAACAAATATCGAAACAGACTTCTAAATGTGGAAAATGATCTCCGTTTAAGGCTAAGCAATCTTCGACCAGACATTCCAAAGCTAGCTTCCAAAATTCAAGCTCAACCTTCTCATTGACGTTTTTTTGTATTCTGTTGTCTTTTCCATTTTTTGTTGCAATAGGCCTATGTGTCATATCTAGAGCTTGTTTCTTGTTCATTTTACTGTAATTCATTAAATGTTGCAACACTACACAGAATTTTATATTTCATCCTTTTGGTTGTAAAGATTAGTTAGGTTTACACAATATTAAAGATTTTTCCATAGTTAACTAGGTATTCATACTTCACGACTAGGTGGTACGTGACATTTTTTGGTCTAGTGAAGTGGTACACCAGTAAAAAAGGTTGGGAAACACTGGCATAGATTAGAGAAATTTCATTTATCTCCCCAATATATAGGCCCACAAGTTTACAATAAGTTACCACTCCGCATAAAAAATATTGATAGTAAAACACAGTTCAGATCCACCCTGAAGACCTGGTTAAAAACCAAAAATTTTTTTTCTATAGAATGTTATTTAAATAGGGACGTTAAGTTACATTAATAATTTAGTAAGACATTTTTGTTATTTCTTAGTTTTAGTATATCCTGTATATGACTTTATGTCCTGTCAAAAAATGATGTAATGACATGTAGTAAATAAATAAATAAAAAAAAATAAATAATAAGATATCTTGCGTATGAGGAGAGTAGAATGGTGGCCATTTTATCACCTACACAGTGTTGACATTTTTTTGCGTAACCATTTCGACCAATCGAACTGATTTCTTTCGATTAGTCAACCAGTGATCGATGTCAACCATCGTTTTATTTGCTGAAGAAGAGAAGACTGACTAAGTCCTGTTCTGTAGTCCTCGTCCTCCTTTCGGTTTCGGTGTCTGTGTTCTTGTCAAGTTTGCATTTCGCAATCTAATGTGGTAGTTGAATAGAATCGTATTTGAGTTTTCTGTTAATATATCTGTTAAGTTTTCTGTTGTTGATGTCGGTCGTTGTTAAGTTTGGTTATGAGTTTGATTATTGAATTGAACCTTTTATGTTTTGTTAACTGTTAATGTTTCGTTCGTTCTCGTTGTGGAACTAAGCCAAGGTGTCAAGAAAGATGGAGTGTGAAGAGATGTCACTGATGTCAGAAAATCAGTACATGTATTCCCGCACGTATGAAGAATTTTTGGGCGTTCTTGCGGAACATGAAACGGCCACTAAGAGCAGATTTGTTTACCAGAAATGTTCCAAAAGGGTTTTAGATGTGAAAGGTAAGTTAAGTCGAAATTACTGAAGCAGTAAAAAATTCCACTAAGCCTAAAATCTAACAAGAATTGGGCCTAGGCCCTATCATATTTATTAATGAGAGAGAGAGGGAACTTTATTAGGCCTAAGTACCTACATTAGCATTATTTTGCTTAGAAATCGTATCATATAAATAGGCCTAGGCCTAAGCCGAAATAAAAATGAGGTAGAGGATATGTTTGCAGTCCGGGCTTTTCCATACCTCCACCCTCCTCCCGCCAACACTGCCCGCGCTAGGCCAAGTGCCAGCTTCTATGATTTCATGAGCTTTACACCGTTTCTAGGCACTAGGGGTACTTTCAAAGCAGGACACCAAATAACCGAATGAAAATTGTGATTGATTATTCGTAATAGGCTAACTAATAGGCCTAGGCCCTATCATATTTATTAATGAGAGAGAGAGAGAGGGAACTTTATTAGGCCTACATTAGCATTAAACTTATTTTGCTTAGAAATCGTATCATATAAATAGTCCTAGGCCTAGGCCTATGAGGTAGAGGCAATGTTTGCTGTCCGGTCTTTTCCATACCTCCACCCACCTCCCGCCAACACTGCCCGCGCTAGGCCAAGTGCCAGCTTCTATGATTTCATGAGCTTTACACCGTTTCTAGGCACTAGGGGTACTTTCAAAGCAGGACACCAAATAACCGAATGAAAACTGTAATTGATTATTCGAAATAGGCTAACTTAAGTTATCAATTATTTCTTGCGGTTCTAGGCTAGGCCTACTTATCCAACCAAACTAACTTAAATAGATATAACTTAAGTTACCCTAAGTTGTCGAATGAAATAATCGATGTATCGAAAATTTAATTCGAATGAGTGTAGGTTTTTTTAAGCCCTGCTTATGAAAGTTAACCCATTATAAGTTATCAATTTAACTTACTTGCAAAATAGCCTAGCCTAACTTATTGTTTTTTTCCAATGTATAACTTAACTTACATTGAATTTGATTTGTTTATGTGTTTATTCATATTTAATAAATAAAAGTAACAATACCTAACTTAGGCCATTTAAATAAAGAAATAAATAAACATAGGCCTACAATATTTTTATCATTATTCCTCTGAGAAGCTTAATATATCACAGGTTGTCTCCCTGAAAACTAAATTAAATTAGTCCTAACGGTTTAGCCTACCTAAGAACTTTGTTCAAAAAAATCTCCATTAACTTAAAATGCATTAAATTTCTTAAACAATCTTCCAACACATTTAGGCTAAAGGCAGGGTCAGATCATCTGAAATTCAAAAGGAAGTGAAAATAATTTCTATTAAATAAATTCTAAGTAGGATACTGTGACAGCGTCCTTGACTTCCTGACTGACGGCTAGAGTCATAATAACTTAATCCCGGTAAACAAAGTGATTAGTACCGGTAAAGATCATGTTTAATGTTAATTTTATTATTAGGTATTAGTTAAATGACATCGTCTACTTACAGGATTTTAGTAGGCCTAGATGTAAATATGTCTATTATACTTGGTTCAATAAATGAGTTATTGAGGTATTAAGAAGCTTGGCCTAGCCTAACTTATATTGAATGGATTTTGGAAAAGGAATTTGTACAACAAAGACTCATACCCAAGTTACCTCTTATTATTTAGACAATGAACATTGAAATTTTATGTTCTGCTCCACTGACAATGTCAATGCATGTAAATGTCCATGATCAATAAATGATTTGATTTGATCCATCAGCCTTGATAGTGCCACAAGCGCTCATGTTCCTCATTTATTTGTATACGCTTACGGCCTAACTTATGGAATCCTTAAGTCCTGATACTATTCTCATAGTTATTCTCAATGGTTCGATCTTGCGTATAACTGTTGAGTAAAACAGATTCTAAACTAAATAGGCCTAACTTACAGTACGTATGGAGATTAATCAAAACTCTGAAAAAATCTCTAAGTTGACACAATGTAGCTGGCTCTATCTTAATGTATTATAACTTTGGTTTCTGTTATTGTTGACAGCTGCTATCTCCAAACCAAATGTAAGGATTCATTGGCAAGAAAATATTCCACATATTTGGCTAGAATCTTCATTGTTTGTCTGCCATCAAGGAAAAGATTTTAATGCCAATAAGAAAAAGAAGTATTCAGAAGATCGGGAATCAAAGGTAAAATTTATTACTAGTGAAAGATATTAGGCCTACTGAAACAGAATGTTAACTTTACTTTTGTAAAAGAATAGGCCCAACTTTGGTAATTTAATTTCAGAAAATCTTAGCCTAATAGTATTTATGTCACAAGTACAGTTATATATAAGTGAGTGCCTTAAAAACTTCTAAAAGTGTGGTAAGTTAAACGGTAATTTCGCAATTTGCTTTCCCTACAACCGTTTTTTTAATTACATTTGTAAAACTTCATTGCCTAACTCTTTCTGTTGCTGTTTTCGGGGAATAAGTACCAGTAGAACCTCTTTAATCCGAACTAATTGGGTTGGGGGGTTGTTCAACCAATTGAATAGTTTGGATTACAGAACATATTGTTGTCTTTACATAACAATAGCTAAAACATGGCTAAAATGGATTGTAATTGCTATGGGAAAAGTTAAAAAATGCTTTTTAAATTTAAATACAGTTTGTTTATTTACAATAGTAAACATAGTGAATTTAAACAGTACTGTACTGTGTATAGAGTACAGCAATCAGGTGTTCGTATTAGTGAACGTTCGGATTACGGGGGTTTGGATTAAAGAGGTTGTACTGTAACTTAAAGCAGAATTCTAACCATAAGTAGTATGAATTCTGCTACGAATATTAAATTTTTTAGTACTGTACACTGAATGTATTTAAACAGTTTATTTACAACAATTATTAAGCTTAAATGAAAATAAACTAAATACTATTAGCAAATTTTCATTGAGTGATCCAACCTTTTATTACTGTCAATTTGATTAATTATTGTTTTTCCTTGTAACGTTTCTTTGATTTTTTTAGTAAATGTCCCTGAAATAAGCTGAAAGTTCTGTGTGCCGTTATTGAATTAATATATTTTTTCAGGCTAAGAATGATCATGTGTTTACTAGACACTACAAAAAAGTGCAAACAACAAAAAAACTGGATTGTCAAGCTAGAATTAATGTCAAAAGAGTAGTACAATTCAAAAATCATAAGGTAAGTACAAAAAAGCAACAAAAGTTACCTACAAAAAAATGCATGCAGCCCATAGTATGCTGAAACACCCAATTGTGTTACGGTCTACTCTTAGCAATTCAAAAACTAGATAGCCTAAATTGAAAATTTTGATGATTCAGAATAAAATTTTAGTCTGTAAAGAATCTCTTAATATTTAAGGATTAACTACCTATTCATTTTTATACACTCCATATTACAAAGTCCAAAAAAAGGGCTGACCGATTTGGAACTCACAGTAATTGAATTTTCATCGGCAAGACAATATACGGTACTTTCCTGTTATCTGGTACCTGCGAAAAAATTCTTTAACCACAAGTACAACTTCGTCGATCCAGAGTCCGGAGCACATACTACCGTTTAGGCTAGGTTTGGTTAGGTTACTTACAATACTCATGCTTTTGATAAACTAACCTAACCTAACCTAACCAAAGTACAACTTCGTCGATCCAGAGTCCGTAATTCGTTACTTCTGGCCACCCGAAACTCAGATGTAATAATTGTTTGTTGTTTTTGTTTGATTAATAAACGCAGATACCATATAACAGGAAAGTACCCAATGTACAATTCGAAAGAAAGGATTCCTTCCTATAGTACCTTAACAGAGAACTTTACATGTTAGCACGGTATGGTAGTTCCTCTGTGGAAAACTCAACCTTTGTACAGGGTAGGCCTACCGATCACTGAAGTCATGTGGATTTTACTAGGGGCTCACAGAAAAATACAAAAAATTACTGATTTTCCATAGTAGGCCTATTTGAAAAAGTAACACTTTCATCAATAATTTGTCAACATTGTCAAACAAATAAAAGAAAGTGCCAGTCTTCTGATACTGTTTATTTTACTTATAAAAAACTAAGTTTTATTCAGAACAATGTTTAATATAGCCTACTCTACTTAGGCCTGGATTAAAAACAACAAAAATATTTTTAAGTACAAAGTTTAAAGTCATAAAGCGCTGCATGCAATCTATAAATTGTTAACACGTTCGCTGCAGCCCACCAATGGCAGGCGTAGCCCCGGTGTTGCGCAGTGTTGAGAGAACTCGTTTGGCTTTCAAATATTTCAGTCTGACGATTTGATAAGACCTACGGTGATGTGCTGCAAGAGTCGATATAGTCTCCTGAAATACTCACAGACAGCAGCACTGTCTGGAACTAGCAGATCCCACTGTATTGCCGATTGGATAAAGAAAGACAAGACAAGAAGTTTATTTCTAAGCTTGCCAGAAGGGTATTTTACAGGGAAATTTACGGGAACCAACTGAACAGTGTACAAAGCAAGTCACACACTAAACGCTAACATATTTTTGTTTAATTTATTATATGTTTCATAGTGTATATTTTTCTGTTGCAGTTGACTGGTGATATAACAGCAAGGAAAAAGCGAGCTGCCTCTGAGGCTTTAAAAAAGGGGATCCTCGATGAGACTTGTTTTGGAGAGGAGTGCTACATTTATAGCTTACCAAAACTAGAAGACCACAATAACCATTTAATTGGGTTAAATGTTGCAGTTATTGAACCAATTTCTAAGGAAATAAGGAAATTTATTGCTGAACTAGTTGTTAAAGGAGAAAGAAGTCCTCAAGTGGTTGCAAAGCTGGCACAGGCCTTTGCAGAGAATGACCTTAAAGAAAGAGACAGATCTCGCCGAAAGTTTTTTCCTGACATGGCATCAATTAGAAACTTAATATCGGCCACAAAGTTAAAAATAAGAAGGAGCCCTGTTGATCAAGAAAATTGTTCCCAAATGTTAGAGGAGTTTCAAAAAGACAGTTCTAATCAAATATTTTTCAGACCGTGCACTGTTGCTGAAGATGAGGATGAAAACTCTAATTTGTATCTCGTAGAAACACCAGCAACTTCAAAACATTTGCTGTTTGTTTTTCAAAACAAAAACATGCAATTCCTCTATAGAAAATATGGCACAAACACAATATTATTGGATGCAACCTACCGCACTTGCAAATATGCGTTACCGCTATATTTTGTAGTGGTTGACACCAATGTCAACTTTCAGGTTGTTGGTGTAATTATAACCCAAATGGAAACAAAGGAGGCTATCAGTGAAGGATTGAGAATTTTTCAGTCCTTCAATCCGGATATATGTCCTAAATTTGGAATGGTGGATTTTGCAATGGAGGAGATTTTAAGCTTGGAGGAGGTATTTTGTAACATTCAAGTGTTCATATGCTCATTCCATCGCGAGCAGGCATGGACTAGGTGGGTTTCCAAATCAAAAAATGCTCAAGTCCCAAGAAAACAATGCTTAGAAATGTTAAGGAAAGTAGCTTATGCTGTAAGTGAAGAAGAATTGAATGAAGCCATCAGCAATTTAAAAGAATGGGAACACTACAAAAACTCTCCTTTAAAAAACTATTTTGAGAAAACTTGGCTTCCAGAAATAAAACGCTGGGCGTTATTTTTCAAACCTGTTGAAATGTTTTTAAACTCCAACAATGGTGTGGAAAGGATTAATAAGGAACTTAAGTATGGATTCCTAGAGGGTTTTAAAGGTTGTTCGCTTAGCGAAATGATTTCTGTCGTACTAACCAAGTTTTTACCAGAAAGGTTCCTAACATATGTCAGAGAGAATATAAAAATGTCTACATTGTCAAGGAAATACACGGATGATCTCCCAAATTTTCTTAAAGAGAGACCTAAATGGTTTATAGACCATATTTTAAGCAGAATAAATGCTGCAGATAGTATACCCAGCAGCACTGAGGTTATTCAGAAATCATGCTGTGTTTATGAAGTAAAAACAGTTGCAACAAGCTATAGAGTAGCCTTTGAATTGCCAGCTAAACAAGGTAGCTGTAGCTGTCCAGATTTCAAGAAAGAAAGATTGGTTTGCAAACACATAATTTATGTTGGCAGAAAGTATCCTGAATGGAATATTGACTTTATTCAAGAATGGTTATTTGACAACCCAATTTTTTGTTTGGATACTGATGTTGGCATTTGTACATCAATGACAGTCGATGAACCTGCTACTGAAATAGCTTCGACTTCCACTATCCGCAGTGAAGAGATAGTCGCCTATGCTGAATTACCTCGGAGGGGATGTAAGAAACGCCAAATGATCAACAAGATGAATTCTACCTTGAGATCAATTCAATCTGTCATGTGGAACCTGGATGAAGATGGACTTCAAGAAGGCTGCGATATATTGGATGAAGCATTAAAAGTTTTAACTGCTAAAGTTACAAGTGATAAGGACAATGGGTTGCCAATGCCGCCTCAACATTCATCTAAAGACCGTTTAAACATCACTACAAGCAACAACAACACTAAAATTAGCAACAGGGATAACTATGGAAAGCTTGCCTTGCATAGAAAAAGAGGTAATTTAGCCAAAGATTACATATCTATTAGTTTTAGTATATTTGTAAGTAGGCCTATATACTGCTCCCATACGATATGATTTTACGTAGGCTATGTTGAAAGCAATCAATGGTTGTGTCCGTATACAAAATAACTTTAAACTCATGAAAAAATTATCTGCTTTTAAGGACATTTGTTACATAAATGTTCCTTGTATTAAAATTTTGTTGAACAAACCAGCAAGATCGGACGATAGCGACAGGTTGTCATGGTGAGTGTTAATGGGGTGTTAGTTTTTACCTTCAAAACAAGAAATTCCAATTTGCTATCCTTAGTTATATTTTCAAGAATAAGATTAAAAAATAGTTGGGCCTATGACATTATTGTTATACAACTATAGAACATATGGGCTGTACATCTCCTCAAGACACAAAAGTAGGCCTAATAACTAACAATTTCAATATCTGAGGTTTGAAAATAATTCTGTAAAATTTCAGTTACTTCTAATTCCAAGGTTTATTGACAGATAAATTATTGATTTAAGTATTTTGGTTTTCAGGACAGAATTGTAGAGTGGGACTAGCAGCAGACCTACTCAAAGAAGCCAGTACACTGCCTATTATAGAATTTCCAGAAGGTAGTGGGGCAAAGCGTCTGAAGCACGAATAATTTATTTATTTTTATAATAAAAACCCTTTTAATATAAAAAGTCTTGTATTATTCACCGAGTGTTTTTATTTACGAAGTAATTATTGTAATAGCCTATGGTGTAAATTGAAAATTAATTTAACAGGCCTATGTAGGCTACTAATATCTGCTGGTATTTTTACCAGGCACTGTTATACTATTTTAACCTCCCTCAATAACAGCTTAGTTAATGAAATGAATAGTGTATCACAGTTTCAGAATTTATTTTTGTATCATAGATCGTTTTGGACAGCATATGCACTATTTTTTTGCTAACTACCAAGCATTGTTGGAGCCCGCAACACCCAGATGAGCCTCTGGCGTTAGCGACTGAGCTTCAGACTTGTGCCCAAGAGGTAGCAATGTCATTGGTTCAGATCCTGATAACCACCACTCTGTTTTCCGTAACCCGCTTAGGTTACAGTACTTAGATTATTTTAAAGTGTGCCTTTACGAACATTAAAGAAGTAGTCTACAACATACAAAATTTACAGTTCTTTACAATTTACTTGTACTATGTTTAATTTCTTCTAAACCCTTTTGAGTCAACTTACTGTACAGGTTTATACCTGCTATCTGTCTTATACCCTTAGCAGTCACGCTCCCAGTCCCAAGGGTGACGGTACATAGATGTTTTATGGTATAGTTCACCCTTCTTCTGTACCAGCTCAACCCTTGCTTTGCTAGATAAGTTAAGCTCCACGGGCGGCAAATGCAAGGTGGAAAGAGGCTGCCGACCTCTTAAAAATATAAATAAAATATTGGAAGAATAAAATTGAAACTTTGACATGATACTGAAAAGCATGAGGTCAATTATTTAGCAAAAGATCATAAATAAATTGAAAGTAGGCTCGAGACTAGTGATATAGGCCCTAACTTACATCTAACCCAGAACATGGGTCTAATTTCAACTTGAGGATGAAAATCTTGCACGTTTTCTCATAGTATTTGACCAAGATCCTTTGGATTACTAAGGCAAGTAACATTCAAGCTGTCTAGCACCGAGTCCTCTCATGGTAAGTTAGGCCTAACTATGGTAAGTTAACTGATGTTGGGAGCTAGGGGTACCTAAGCATAGTAGGTAATAGGTAGTATGTTTTATCTATGATAGGCCTAGTACCCATTCCGCTACGTGAACAGTACCATTGGCTATATACCATGACTTATGGTAAATAGCCAATGATAGTACACATTCAGCTAGGTGAATTGCACTCCTACTGATCAATCCCGACAGCAAATTTAATTGGCTACACATACAATTCAGAAAAAGATTTTCGAATGTGCTACCTATTCTAATCATAACTTGACCACGGCCAAGTGTTTTTAGGGCCTAGGTCCTCTTCCTCTACATCTGACACTGTCGTGTCTAGAATTAAGTTTGGCCTAATCAAATAAAAACTGAGGTTGTTCATTAGAACATGGTAAGCATAGGACTTGAGTAAAACTTTATCTCAATTTACATTTGATATTTTAGTTAACTTATGGGTTTATGTGTAAAAGACGACTGGTAAGTCCCTTCTCTTGAGTTTGGAGTCAACCTTGCCTATCAAGTTTCGTACCTACATGTTACTTGGTGTTTAGGTTAACTTAGTTACAAAATCATACAATTATAAAAGGTTAGGTAAACTCAAGACGTGGTAATTAAGTTATTAGTTAGTTGAAACATTAATTACTCGTTTTTGTTTATTATTTTCGTAATTCTTTTAAGTTTGTGTTGTTGACTGTTAAATCAATAGCAAGAAATAAATACATCTCATCCTATATCGACTCAAAAGGCAAAGGGCACTGGGCACTTGGGCAGGGCACCCTGGCCTGGCACTCAGTCAGATCAAGACAGAGCTTCAGTTCAGCAGGCGGAGGCGGCTTGGCTTGGCAGAGTTCAGTTGACATCGAATCGACATCGACACGAACCACATGACATCGACTACCGATATGTCGATATGATTACGAACGATATTGAACCGATTTATGTCAACACTGTGTTGGTGATAAAATGGGCACCGAGTAGAATAAGAGAGGCCTGGTCTAACCCCATCCAGATACACATTCACGTGGTGAGATGAATAATATTTGCCATTTCTGCTATGCAACTTACTTTGGAAGTGAAATAATATACGAAGCACATTGTGTTGTAACGGTAGTAAAGTAAACTTGCCTAGTGTCAGATAAAATGAATGCATGCAAGAAATGTTTACTTCTGACACTGACAGATCGAGATATTTGAAAACATTTAGTATAAACTATAATAATGCCTTGGCTATGATAAGTTCAAGTAGTAAGAGTATACCAAGTCTTGGTGGACCTTATGTTTTAATTGTAAACTTTTGTATAACTCGCTCTACTTCAGTTGAGAAAAAAACGCAAATGGATTGTTTACATCTAGGTTATATTGCCAGTTTCTCGGACAAATTTATACAAAGTCTTTTGACTGAATTCACCAACACAATCCAGACAT